CACACACACACACACACACACACACACACACACACACACACACACACGCGCAACTGAGGTTGTAACATTTTCTTAAAACTACTGTAAACTCTTCAGGTGGCTGATAACTGAGGCGTTCAGTGCTATTAACACAGAGGTACATGCTGAACTATAGAGGAGTGTTTGCTTGTTCTTATGACGTTCTTTAAGTTTCAGACTGTACATCTGTCAACACCAGATCACATGCAGGAACTGTTCCAAATCTGGCAACTCCCCACTGAAATCAACAAATCATCATTACAGGACGATTGTAACACCAGGAGCTGATCACAAACACCGTAGAAACACCGACAACATCGCAGCAGTTGCCGGCCTTTATCACTGCTGCTATAGCAGTTGTTTAAGTTCCGCTCTTTTCTCAGGGTTAGAAGAGAAAGTGATAAAAAATGATTATGAAGAACATGTTTCTTTTGGCTGTTCTGAAACTCTCAGGTTAATCCACAATTTCCCTGAAAAGCTTCCGCAGCTGGCCGTCAATCTTAACGACACCAGCTTGCTAACTGAAACCAAATGGTGTAATAAAGTCTGTATGTGTATGACAGGTTTTAGAAAAAAAAAAAAAGAAGTCATTGCAGGAAATACACAAAATCCCCGTCTGCAACTCCTTCCTTGCAGCAGCTCACGTGCCCTGCACACACCTTTGTGTTGTCGGATTGCTTTCACACGGCTCTGGATAGATTACATGTACCTCCAGTCTCTACTTTTCAAACTTTCGTGTATATTCCAACAGCAATATGGTGCGACTTAGTTTAAAAAGGAGAATAATAATCTTAAACAGGCACACGTTCATACGTTATGGGCTAAAAACATTCCGTGGAACACAAGGAAAACTATTTTCTTCTGTACTTTGAACATCACCAGACTGATTACAACCTCACTTTATAAAGCTAAGATAGATAATATATGATCAACTTATAGTTTATTTAATAAAGTGTATGACTTGATAATCAATCCTCTGAGCAAGAGCTGCAGCTGTGATACTTTGTGTCATCCCTTAAGAGCGAGTCAAGCCGGGGCGCCCTCTTTTTAGTATCTGAATATGTAAAGGGCCATAATATGAATATGTAAATATGAATATGAGCTAATTCAGTGATGCATCGAGGCAGCTGTTGTGAGCTCCACATTTACAAGGGAACATGTGTTGGCCCTGCGGGGCAGGTTAGGGTGACAAGACAGGTGAGGGGAGAGGGCAAGCGACGTCCATTATGTGTGGACAATACCGATAGGCCTGTGACGTGCAGGCGGGCAAACCCACACACAGGCTTAACTAAATATTAACATGGGTTTAAAGAATAGGAGATTTACTGTGGAGTTTCTGATATATGAAATGAATGCAAACAAACAAAACAAGAGTTTTGTTATTCACAAGCAGCCTTAAAACAGACGCATTCATCATCCCCAGCTCCCAAAAGACTTGTATTTCTTATAGGTTAAATTATTAATCCTCCTCCTACACTTTCATTTGAAATACATGCTGCCTCTGCACTGATTTCACTCCCAATAACACATGGAACATAATCCACACTCCCTGAACGAGCAACTAAAAGCTGTCTGTTAAAAAAAAAACAAAAAAAAAAAACACACAGCATTTAAATTATCCACTGCTTTCAATGAGTTGTAAAAAAAAAAAAAAAAAGAAAAAGTAAGGAAGCAACGCTACACAAACAGGTGTAGAAGCAGCCCAACGTCTGCTGATGGTTGATATGCAATATTAAAGCATCATATTGGTTCAAAGGTCACTCTGCCTGCTGTTCATCCACCCACATGGGACTGTTTTCATTTAGGATTCACTCCGCACACGCGCGCACACACACACACACACACACACACACACACACACACACACACACACGGAGCTGCTCAATTTTCCAATAATCGGATGTGAATTCAGAGTGAAATTAAACGCTCGTGGCACCAGAAGTGTGCAAAGTCGTATTCGAGGAAGCTTACACTAAGCACATGAGCGAGGCCACATCTCTAGAAAGCTTAATCAATTGAATGTGACACGGCAATGCATCAAAAAATACAAGAGTCTCTGAAGAAATTTTGTTTCTATTACAGATGGATGAGGTGCTGTGGATCTGCACAGCCTCTCAGGACCTGACAGTGTTTTCTGGATTACAATTGCATCTCAGCAGGGATGCCTGCTCACTCCTCTAACCCTCAGACTGTTTAGTGCTTAAAAATAGCAAACGGTGATGGAAGGCTACACCGATCTGAAGCGCAGGGATGCAAAGGAAAGGTCCAAATCTTTGAATGGCCCCATGCAGGAAGTATTCTAGGCATGCGTCGAAATAAAGAGCAGAGCAGCTTCAGTCTACAAGGGACAGTGACATTTAAAAGTTGCATTAGCTTTTTTTTTTTTTTGATCTTTTAGACAAAACCAGTAATCCGTGCACTGGTGAATGTGCTTTTAAAGAGGGGGGGGGAGGGGAAACAAGAACATTTAACACAAAATCGAGCAAAAATGATGGAGTTTCACCGCATCTGAAAACACCCAACAGAGAGATTTATTGTCTACATTATTTCCACACACATGAAGAATAACATGCGATACTACAATCACCGGCTGGTCTTGTAATAGAAGTCTGTAATATTAACAGCTTGATGCTCGTGGCAGCATGTCTCCCACCGTTCGCGTGAGCTGATGCTTAAAAAAAAAAAAAAAAAAAAAAAAAAAAAAAGTTTACCACCGCTGTCTGGCTGCTGAATGGGACAAAACTTTTCCCTTCATCGCCGGGTTTGATAGCGCCCCGGCTTCACGCCTGAGAGCACACAGCTAAATAAGCCCGAGCGAGCTGCCCGGTTCTATTTCTACAACACGAAATAATTCAACCGAAAGTTTACGAGAGGACGAGCGGGCAGGGACCAGCACCTCCACCCTCAAACAGAAACGTGTTTCCACAAAGAAACGAATTAAACCAGCAACAAACCAACAACAACAAAAAAACCCGCGCTTCATCTCCTTCTCCCAACGCTGCAGAAAGCGTGTTGTATCGCAACATTTAAATACATTGTTGCAGCCCGAAATGTTGCAAGAAGTGTGCGCGCGTTGCACGAATGCACAATATTAGTAAATATCCCGTGCAACAAAAAGTGCAAACAGGAGGTAAAAATGAAGGAAAACTAAAGTTTAAGACGCACCTCTAAGGTGGAAACCCCGCACGGAGGAGCGCACTTTCTGTACAGTACGCTGCTTTTAAATTACACTACCTAGTTTAGAAAGTTGGACTCCCCTCCAATGCCCCCCTCGCCTCTATGATAAGCAGGTAAAGTCCTCCCGTATAGCGCGTAATTCACTTACTTTTCTCTCGCTTGGCTATCGGAAGGGACGACAGCTCCTTTACCTTTGGCGTACATGCTGGATTCTGTTTTAAGACTTTTGCCCCACTCAACACCTGTCAAAGAAAGCAGCCAGGAAAACGCTCCATCTCCATAGCTACCCCTTTAGTGTTTTTCCTCCCCCCTCCCCTCCTCCTCCTCCCCCCTTCTCCTCCCCCCTCCCTCCTCCTTCTCTCTCCTCTCCCTCCCTCTCTTTCTCTCTTTTTTTTTCTTCTTTTTTTTTTTACATCTCCAACATTGGCCACAAATCAGGCACAGTTTCTATTGGGGGGACTTGAAACCGTCCTGTTGGATTTTTTTTCCCCTCCTCAGCCGCTGTTCCGCAGACCTGCTGCTCCTCCCTCCGTTGTGCAAACGGTGGGGGCTCCTTAAAGGGAAACACACACTTCTTGTTTACTGACCTCAGAAACATGAGGAGAGAAGGGGGGAAGATGGGGAAAGGCATGCCGGGTAAAGGGCTCTACTCTAAACGGACTACAGCCAGCTCTTTTTGGGAGGCTGGCAATAGTCCTAATGTTTTTCCCCCCCTAAAAAGACATTCCAGGACTTTAGGCTCCAATTTGATTTTCTACTTTGACTCACACCAATGAGGACGCTACTGTCATTTTTAAAATGTTTGCACACATGCTTTTTGGAAGGCATTATTTCCCATATGTGTGATTTGGTCTTGATGTAACAAGTAGGCTATTGTTTTGTCATGACCCCGAAATAAGCGCTGCACCATATGAGCTTAAGGAAACGTATTAAGTCAACGGACACATTCTATTTGTTAGATGTTAGGGCTGTACCGAATAGTCCAAGGCTTCATTCATAATGCTGACATTCAAATTCGGAATCATTATTCTCAACTGTTTAAACCCGTTGTTTCTGCACAGTTGCAGATAAAATAAAGATTAGGCTACGCTAATATTGTTAGTATTATACTATTCATAGATTCCAGTGGTGGCTGCATTGGATTGTTGAATTGTGGTTAGTTGAAGATAATATTCTGTTTCAAACCATATTTGTTGGCGTTTAGCCTTTTAAAAACTACATTTTCACTGCGGTCAAAAAACTGTTTGCTCTCCCGCTTGCTGCGGCGAGAAGGAGGCGCGCAATGACGAGTTACATTTATTGAAGGAGGTTGATTCAGGCTGATGAAGACAGACTTTCAAAGCTTCTTTCTAAACCTGGCAAGAAGCGTTGAATGTAAAGAAAAAAAAGACATTTGGTAGTAACATTATAATGAAAACACACCAGAGCAGTGGCAAAGTTCGGCCGTTGAGAATCTGCGGCGATTTGCGACCAGAGAGTTCCTGCAGCCAATCAGACAATAGAGTCCTGCGACTCCTGCGACAGGTTGACCTGTTACAAACAATTTCTACCTGCCAGAAATGCATGCGCATGCCTCCTGGCCGTGGAAAAAATGAAATAATCGAGGCGAGCTGCCTGGTATGTTTCCGGCATTAGAGTAGCCTATGGCCCCAAGAAATCCTCAGCTGGTGTCTGAAGAATATTTAGTTTGAAGGAATAATGAGTTCTCCTTAGGATAGTGTGGTTCAAGGATTATTACCAACTCAATTGCTTGTCTGGAAAGACAGATGAACAAAGGCAGCAGTTCCAAATTTAATCTTTTAATACTGCATAGTTCAACTGGTTTACCTGACAACAGAAGAAAAGGGGAAAGATGTTAATCCAGAAATCATAATTCCTAATTCCAATGACTAATAATCCAACAAAGGCAATTTAACTTAATTAAACCTAAGAATTAAGAAACAAAGATAGTCAAAATACATTTATTTTTGGCATTAATCTGGGGTTTTGCCGAATTGCCAAATATCAATGTTCTTGTCTATATGTATTGTAAAATGTATTGCTTGTCTTGGCAATTTATTTGCTTGAAACAGCCAATGTGCCAGTTGAACAGATGTTAGCTGTGGCGAGCTCTAAACCTACGACCGTGTGCTGTGAGTGTTCATGTGTTTGACTGACAGCTCATCCTGAGACTGATCTCAAAACTGACCTTTTCGTCTCATCTCTTCAGGAATTGTAGAGATAAAGATTAAGAGATTAAGCGAGTATAATATGCATCTATTTGTGTGCACCCACGCTTTTGAATTTAGAACTTTAAATCCAATCACGGCGCGCCTAAAACCGGTTGCGTACAGTCTGAACGCACCTTTCTGATTCTGATTTAACCACTGTTCTACATTAGCATGCATCGAACAGCAGGTAGAAATGACTTTCTCATACCACTGGGTTCTGTGTGATCTGATGGTGACCATTTACACCAGGACAACCACACATTTCCCAACACAGAGACAATCTGTTTGGGACCCATGGCATCCCTATACCTAAAGCTCCTTTCACAGGACATATGGGGCTGTGAGTCAGGTAGTTTTCTACTCACTGGTCCCTTCAAACCTCTTCATCAAGCTACTCAGTTTACACACTTGGCTCAGACCCTGATCTTGATGTTGGTCATCTATACAGGTCATCAGACACAGGCAAAGAAAGTGTTCACCAACTCTTGACCAATGCTTAAAGTAAAAGGAGATACAAATGAAATAGCTGGATAAATGCTTACTAATATGCATCACTGGTGTGAGTGCTGTCAAAATGGTATGAGGATTGGGCCTCTGAAACCCATATTGATTTTTGTTTATATCAGTGGGTGTCTGCTGGATGATAATCACTGACTGAGGTCAAAGTTCATGCACCTTTTTTTTCACAATTATTTGACTCAAACTGACGGATAATCATGATTGTAGTCTGGTCAGAGTACAACCAAACCCACAAACAGCTCTGAGGTTTACTTCACTCAATCTGCTTTCTGAGCTGCAAAGGACATGATCTTTTGTTATTTATTTTATTAAAAAAAATAAAAAATTAACCGTTTTGATGTGGATCCAGAAGCGATGAGTTAACCAAGGGCGTTCTTGGTTAACAAGAAGGAGGCTTAAGCAGCAGTCTCCAGTGCCAAGTCATATACTCACTGTTCTGCAAAGAGAGCGATCGCCCCACAGTCGGGGCGCAGCTTCTACTGTACATTTCACGTCTCGCACAAAGCCACATCCTGATGAGATCTTTAGCTGATTGTTAGCTAAAAGGGGATTGGTTATTATTATTCATTCCAACTCTGACAGCCCAATGACCCGAGGGCAACCCACTTTCCCTGGCACTCTTACACCTCCGACTCCAATTACAAAGCAGCTGTAGAGAGGTGGCACACTGGTTGTTCCATATCACCCAGTGTGCTGTATAATAGCATCTATGATTAGCTACGAGATCCTTAAAGTGAGACAAGTTTATGGTGTTTGTCAACCAGGCCTAAAGGTAGGACGTGCTTGTGATCTTTATCCTATAGCATGCTCCCTCATCAGGCCAGTTTACTGCTCACAGAGATCAGTGTATGATACAGCGCTGGCTACAGGAACCAGATCTGGAGAATGCAAGGGGGTTTTAGGTGGTTAATATTTATGCAATCAATTATTTAGTGTTCTATATTTGTAATTAAAGGGGTACTCCGACGAGTTTGTATTGCAATTCTATAAAGTTGGGGAGCTTACAAGAGACAGATTTAAAAAAGAATGATGAAAATTGAAACAGCAGGGATATTCTAAATGTATTCCGAAATATGGGTCAAGTTCCAAAAACCTACATCCTACATTTCCCATAATGCAACGAAATAGCATCTTTCATTAGACCCTTCATACCCTCTTTCAATCCCAACAGCTCCAGTTTGAAATCTAGGCCCTCTGTTAAAAACAATAAAGCCTTCAGGCCAAGCCGAGACGACCCTGAGGACACCATCAGGGTTGTTATTGAACCAAAGAAGACATTTGTTTTTGTGTAAATTGTTTAATTTACTTCAACTTGTTGTAATTTGTTCTAATTTTGACATTGTATTGGTCTGTATACATCAAAAACTAATGGAAAAAACATTGGAAAAATGAATTTTTGTAATGTATATAGTGCATAATGGTTTTTTTGACAGTTTTTTATTAGATAACAGAATCAGAATTGGTCACATATTTTGAAAAGGTTCAGTTATTTTATTGCATCGCTAACATTTTGACGGCACTTTGAGTGCATACGGAACAAACGGAAGTGTCCAAATTAAGAAAAAGCAGTGTGCTAAAATAAAATAATGAGACTATATCGCAACAGCGAAGATAAAATGTCACGACTTTTCACCAAGACCAATAAAGACACTTAAAATTATACTTTTTCAGACCGGCTTAATGCCACATGGCTGAGGTGAACTATAAAAACTGCTAATTCATCTGATAAATCAAATACATGTTTGACGTCAAAAGCTTAAGGTAATAATAGTGATGATATGTAATAACCGTAATACAGTTTGAAGTAATAGAGACCACGCCTTGCAGCAGTATATCTTTCACTGATATCAATTACCTTGGATCAGGGTAACAAAGGGATTAATGTGAGATATATAAAAGAAAATCATGATTGCGTGTCCTTACTTTGGCAACCTGTAACTATTTGGGGAGGAACCCGGAGGTAAGCGAGTGCTGTCGTTTCCTGCTTCTCTTTCTCTGTCATTTTCTCTTTTGGGTGGCCTTGCTTTCACTCAGGCAAGCAATGTAGTTATTGCAAAACCAGGAACCCCCATTAAAGACTGTCACATTATGCAATAGCTCCAGCAGTGAGGGTCCACTTTAGACGTGCAGGCATCCAGTACCCCTGTTAGGTCTCTGCTCTGCTACACCCCGACGTCAGCCTGCACGGGAAGGAAAAACACAATAAGTTGCAGTCCAGACCAACAGAGGAATTCCCCCAGCCCCTGCCTTTGTGAGGCCAAATTGTAATTAATCACAGGTTGAATAATTCAGCGCAGAGCGAATGGATGCCTTTCTCAGCCCATTTCTCGGCACCTGCCTCAGGAGGCGTCCCTAGAGCCTGCATGTGTGTGTAGGTTATGTGTGCGTGTGTGTGTGTGTGTGTGTGTGCGGTGGAGGCGCTTTTCCAGGGCCAGTAAAAAGAGAAACACACAACCCAGAAACAACCAAACACAAGACAGCAATGAAACCTCCGCCCTACAATCCCTATGAGTCAGCCTTGACTCGCAGTGGCCCCTTGATCCGCCTCTTCTCTTCTTCTTCTTCACTCGCAGTCCATCTTTCCTCTC